AAAACTGCATTTACAATAGCATAAAAAATAAAATGCTTAAGGAATAAATTTAAAGGAGTGTAAAACTTATACTCTGAAAATAAAAAGTGTTCTTGAAAGAAATCTAGATAAATGGAAAAACATCTCATGTTCATGGATCAGTAGACTTACTATTGTCAAGATGACAATACTCCCCAAATTAATCTACAAGTTCAATGCAACCCCTATACAATCTCAGCTGACTTCTTGGTAGAAATTGAGAAACTGATTCTAGAATCCACACTGAAATTCAAGGGAACCAGAATAGCCAAAAAATCCTGAAAAAGAAAACCAAAGCAGAATTCACATTTCTCAATTTTAAAACTTACCACAAAGCAACAGTAATCAAGTCTGTGTGATATGGTATAAGGCTAAATATACAGATCAAGGGAACAGAAATTAAAGCCAAGAAATAAAACCATGTGTCTAAGGTCAATCAATTTTTGATAAGGGTGCCACGACCATTCAATGGAGAAAGAATAGTCTTTTCAACAAATGGGGCTGGGACAACTAGATATCCACATGCAAAAGAATGAATGTGGACCCCTACACCTCACACCATATAAAAAGATCAACTCAAAATGGATCAAAGACCTAAATGTAGGAGCTAGAACTATAAAACTTTTAGAAAACAGGGATAAATCCTCGTGACCTCAGATTTGTTAATGGATTGTTAGATATGACGCCAAAAGCACAAGCAACAAAAGAAAAAATACATAAACTGGACCTCATAAAAATCAAAAACTTTGGTGCTTCAAAGGACACTATCAAGAAAAGGAAAAGACAATGCACAGAATGGGAGATAATATTTGCAAATCATATATCTGATAATATCTAGAATATATAAAGAACTCCTACAACTTAATAATAAACAAAATAATACAATTAAAAATTGGCAAAAGATCTGAATAGACATTTTTCCAAGACAATATACAAATGCCCAATATGCACATGAAAAGATGTTTAACATCATTAGTCATCAGTTGAATCAAAACCACAGCGATACTAATTCACACCCACTAGGATGGCTAGAATCAAAGAGTCATATACTAACAAGTTTTAAGAAGGATGTGGAGACATCGAAATCCTTATACACTGCTGGTGGGAATGTAAAATGGTGCATCCACTTTGGAAAACAATTTTTCAGTTCCTCAAATAATTAAACATAGAGTTAGCATATGACTCAGCAATTCCACTCCAAAATATATACCCAAGAGAAATGAAAACCTATGTCCACTCAAAAACTTGTACACGAATGTTTACAGTAGCATTATTCACAACAGCCAAAAATGAAAACAACCCAAATGTCCATCAATTGATGAATGGATAAACAAAATGTGGTATATCTATACAATGGAATATTATTCAGCTATAAAAAGGAATGAAGTACTAATACATGCCACAACATGGATGAACTTTGAAAACATTGCACTAAATGAAAAACGCCAGTCAAAAAAGACCACATGTTGTATGATTCCATTGATATGAAATGCCCAGACTATGCAAATTTATGGAGATGGAAGGTGGATTAGCGGTTGCTTAAAGCTGGGGTACATATGGGAGCGATAACTAAAGGGTACAGGTTTCTTTTTGAGGAGATAAAAATGTTCTAAAATTGCCTGTGGTGATGGCTGCACAATTCTGTGAATATACTAAACACCCATGGAATTCTACAATTAAAACTGATGAATTACATATGGCATGTGAATTATGAAGCCATGGTGGCTCAGTGGTTAAGACCTACAGCTGCCAACCAAAAGGTCAGCAGTTTGAACTCACCAGCCACTCCCTGGAAACCCTATGGGGCAGTTCTACTCTGTCCTACAGGGTTACTCTGAGTCAGAATCGACTCGACCTCAACATTTGGTTTGGTAATGGGTATGTGAATCATATGTCAATAAAGCTGTTTTTTAATCAATTACCATATATCTAACCAAACAACCCGTTGCTGTCAAGGCGATTCTGACTCATAGCGACCCTACAGGACAGAGGAGAACTGCCCTATAGGGTTTTGAAGCAGTGCCTGGTGGATTTAAACTGCCGACCTTTTGGTTAGCAGCTGTAGCTCTTAACCACTATACCACCAGGGTTTCCAGTATATCTAGAAAAGCCAATAATTGAAGAATGGTATAGAACATCACATGCTAGGTCATGTGGAACCAACTATGAGCGTTTCATAAATTCAGACGGCAATAAAGGAGCCATATACAATCATGCACTGCATAACTCCCGTTGGGGCAACGTGGGACCACGCACACATCCGTGGTCCCAAAAGGTTTTTTTTTTTTTTTTTAAAGGAAAAGCAGCTCTCCTAATGGTTTTAAAGACTCCAAACCTAGACTACTGCAGTACTGGACTATGGGTGGGATACAGGCAGGTGAAGCAGAGCACATGTCTCTGGGCACAGGCTCTTGGGCTGTGTCCGGCAGGCAGGGAGGTGGGCAGCAGGGGGCTGTGGGACTGAGCAGGGCTGGGCCTCTCCCTCCTTGCTCGCTTCCTCTAGCTCTCCTTCCTCAAGCCAGGTCAATCCCACTTCTGAATATTTAGCAACTGGCTGAAGTTCATCCCTAAAGACAAAGAAACTTCTGCCTCCCAGGGGAAGTAAGCAGGAAGTTCACACCCCTCAGTGGCCAGGCACATCGGCCTCGCTTTGTCCACCCTTCCTTGGAATTGGAGCCCGCTGACACTCAGACAGGGAGGGCAGAGTAGGGTGGGGCAGGGGCTGGAACAGCAGGCGCATAAGCAGGTGTCTTCTGAGGGCCCATACTCCTCTGAAACAGAATGGGGCTGCGAGGGGCCAAGTGGGTGGCTCAACTTAGCCTTAGAATCTCCAAGCCAGGACTCTGGGCTTAGTAGTCTTGAATGACATTACACCCCCAGGTTCTCTCCTCAGCCTGGCTACCCCTCCCTACCTGTCTGGACTCACTCCCATGGGGCCCAATTCCCAGAGGGGCTCTGCTCCAGCCCTCGTCAAGGCCCATGCCCACCCCCTAAGCTGAGTGAGCAGACAGGGCAAGCGGAGGCCGGCCTGCTGCTCCAGTCCCAGTTACTACATGATTTGCTCTGGTTAAACCCTTCCACGCTCACCAGGACACTGGTGGTTCGTGACCTGCTGGGGGAGCAGGCCAATGGCACAGCCCCCAACCTCTGTCTATGAGAGGCAAATCCCTGAACCCCAGGTCACAGTCTGTGCGGACACAGCTGCCTAACCTGGTTTGTGAAGGCAGCTGTTGCTCCATAACTTCCAACCAGGCCCAGGTGAGGCCTTGAAGGTCCTATCCTATAGTCCACGCCTGACAAGTCCCTCCCCAAGAGACAACAGGCTGTGCCTTAACATGTGTGCTCCATAGCTCTTGCCATCTGGGAGGTGGGAGATGCTGGAGCCTCCCCACCTCTTGAATCCTTCCTGGAGCAACCAGGTGTAAATCAATACACCAAGGACATCCAGAGGTCAACCAGAAGCAGGATCCCACAAGGTTTTAATATAATAGGTTTTATGGGGGTTGGTTCATAACTATGGGTTATACTTAAGTCGGATGTTCACAATCTGGGGACTGCCTGTATATAATATGGTGTTCGTGCAAGGTCCAAATCACGTAACGTCCTATTTCACAGAACGTATAGCGAACGTTGAGCGATGCATGACTGTGTAAATGGAAACAAACAACTTCTGCTCTCAACCTGGCTAACTCTGACGTGGAGGTAGTGATGCTACTGCTTTGAGGCATTCCTCAGGCCCCTTCCACAAACCAACCACACCCTACAAAGAGTTGGCTAACAAGTGAAGGGTATCTTTTTCCACCTTATCAACTTACAGTAGCATTAATTAACATACAATAAACTATATCTATTTAAAGTGTACAATTTGATGAATTCTGACAGTTGCATACATACATGGAACCACAACCACAATCAAGAATACAGAAAATTTCCATCATCTCGATAAGGTTACTCATTCAATTCATTCCTCCCACCGCCTCCAGCACCAGACAACTACAGATACATTCTTTTTGTCTCTTCATATTATGTAGTTTGGATTTTATAGAAATGGAAATCTAAGACTATGTACTCTTTGTGTCTGGCTCTTTTACTCAACATGATTTTGAGATTTATCCATGTCACTGCGTTTATCAGTAGTTCAATCCTTTTTTTTTTACTAAGTAGTATTCCACTGTAGGGTTATACCACTCTTCCCTTATCCAGTCACCAGCTGATGAACACTTGTGTTGTTCTAGTTTTTTGTTATTCAAGTACAAATCTTTGTGTGGATATACGTTTATATTTCTCTTAGGAAATATCTAGGAGTGGAATAGCTGGGTCACATGGTAGGGTTATGTTTAATGTTTTAAGAAACTTTGTCTCTTTCTTACGGCAATGTAGTTGAGTCTTCCTGCTCCTTGTATGTCCACCAGGATCTCTACTTGGTTATTAATTGCTGAAATTCCAGTATCTTACATTCCTTGATAGGTAGCAGTAAGAAAACCAGGATTTGGAATAAAAAGATACCTAAATTCAACTCTAGTTCTGGCATGTATAAAAACTCTGAATAGCCTTGGGTGTAAGTCTTAGTTTTCTTTTCCACCAAATGAGGATAATAATATATATTTAGTAGAGACAGGAAAGAAACACAGACAACATTTATATAAAGGCTATGGTGTTATTATTCCTGTAATAATTCCTTCTGGAAGAATTACGATTCTAAGGTACTATTAATCACTTAACCTTCAATGTACATGAATTTTAGATAATTTATTCAAAACAAGTTTTGAAGGAGAAAGAAGTAGAGGGCATGAAGCACCTGAGATGAAGGGATAAATGGAGAAAATAAAGGGTCATCTAAATGTTCAGGAGAAATAATTATACCTTGGTTGTGCTTTATGAGCTACATTTAGGTTAAAAAGTTTTATCTGAGTGGCTGTTGGGACTTTTTCATGCTTAAGTCATACCTCACATTTAGCGGTCATAGGCCCAACTGCACTTACCAGTCTGGATAGGATTCACCACTTGTTCTGGTTGGTAGCAAAAGTTTATATCTTCTGGCCAGTTTTGATTGTTCATATAGTCCTGGTAGGCCACTTTCTCTTCTAGGAATTCAGTAGGGGACCCTTAAAATGGAAACATGAAACAAAAATTACAAGGTACCTCTGTTTTCTCCCCATTAGAGTTGAGTCTCTAGAGAGTATTACAGCTAGTACAATATAAATATAACACAATCATATCTAGCTAGTGCCTTGGAAACATTTTTTTTTTTTTTTAATTTTACGATAGAAGGAAACATCAAAGCATAAGGTTATTCTTAGGGTTTAAAACATCTATTTAAATCTTCAAATTCATATGAACTGCAAGGGCCCTTAATAGTCAAAACAATCTTGAAAAAGTACAAAGTAGGAGGACTCACACTTCCCAACTTTAAAACGTACTATAAAGGTACAGTAATCCAAACAGGGTTATACCAGTATAAGGATAGCTATATAGACCAACGGAACAGTTGATGGACATTTAGGTTATTTCCACTTTTTGGCTATTATGAATAACGCTACTATGAATACTTTTATACAGGGTTTAGTGTGGTCATATGGTTTCATTGTCTCAGGTAAACATATAGGAATGAAACTGCTCAGTCATATGGTAACTATGTTTAACATTCTGAGGAACTGCCAAATTGTTTCTCAAAGTGGCTGCACCATTTTATATTCTCAATAGTAATGTATGAAGGTTCCAATTTGTCCACATCTTCACCAACACCTGTTAATACCTGTCTTGTTCTATTTTAACTATCCTAGATGTGGGCATGAAGTGGTTCTGACCAGCATTTCCCTTAATGGCTAACAATGTTGAGCATTTTTTTGTGTGCTTATTGGTCATTTGTAGGTCTTCTCTGGGGAAATGTCTATTCAAATCCTTTACTCAGTTTTTAACCGGGTCATTTGTCTTTTTATTGTTGAGTTGTATGATTCATAATCTTGATAGTACCTTTGGAGCACAAAAGTTTTAAATTTTGATGAAATCCAATTTATCTACTTTTGTTTTATTACTTTTAGTGTCATATCTAAGAAACCATTCCCTAATTCAAGGTCACAAAGATTTACTCCTATGTTTTCTTCTAAGAATTGTATAGTTTTTGCTCTTACATATAGGTGTATGATCTATTTTTTATATGATGTTAGGCAGAGGTCCAATGTTATTCTGCATATAGATATCCAAGCATTCTAGAACCAACTGTTGAAAAGACTACTCTTTTTCTATTGAATAGCCTTGGCAGCCTTGTCAAAAATCCGTTCACCATAATATAAGGGTTTATTTCTGAATTTTGACAGCTTCTTAAAGTGTTAATCATAGATTTATCATAAGGCACAGCAATTTCACTATTAGATATCTACCCAAGAGAAATAACACACGTCCAAAGATTTAATACATGAACGTTCACAGATGTATTATAATAGCTAAAAACTGGAAACAACCTGATGTGTATCAACCAGAGAACAGACAAATAAAATGTGGCATATACATACAGTGGAATATTATTCAGTGGTAAATGGGAATGAATTACTGACACACACTACACCCTGGACGAATGTCAAAAGCATTGTGCTAAGTGAAAGAAACAAGACACAAAAAACTACAATAGTGTGATTCCATTTATATGGAATTTCTAGAAAAGACAAAACTATAATAGGGGCAGGAAGCAGATCAGTGGTTGCCTAAGATTGTGGGTAGGAATGGGGACTGGCTGTAAATGTGTACAAGGAACTTTCAGGGTGATAAAAATGTTCTAAGACTAGATTATGGTGATAGTTGGCACAGCTCTACAAATTTACCAGAAATCACTGACTTGTATATTTACAATGGGTGAATTTGATGGTATCTAAATTACACTTCAATAAAGTAGTTTTAAAAAAATGTCTGGGACCCCAAAGTTCCTTTCAGATACTTCCTTATTAGGACCATGAACTTTTGGCAAGAAGGGAGGATGAGAAGAGTGTAGAAGTGAGGTAGGAAACAAGTTCTAAGGAAAAGCTTTGAAAGGCTGAATAGTCACAGTACTAAAGTCTGAAATTCCCTTTTGCCTTGCTGCTGGAGAAACACACCAGGATATAAGAAGACATGTTTGGGAGAAGGAGAAGGCTCAGTTACTATGTACTTACTAAGAAAAAAAAAACATGGCTAATACAACTACCACTAACCTTAAGGCAAATTAAATTACAAAGGTAAGCGGCAGGACTGTCCCTCCTTATTACTAGCTAATTCATCAGGCCGCCTCTAGGTGCATATTTTCCCCTTCAAGGCTGCCATCTATGCTCATGTTCCATAGATCATTTAAATCTCACCTACATGAAGTGGTTTAGTGAGAAAGCAGAGAAGAGGAGTGAAACAAAATAATTTATCCTAGATTTTGCATTTCTTGGAACACTGATTCTGGAACAATCACCTGAGATGATCTTAGAATAAGCCTGAGGATTTTTTTTTTCCTAGACATGTTTTTACTTAAGAATAATAAATCTGTGGGATTTTAAAGTTACTGTTCATGCCTGCAAGAATGGAAGGGGGAAGTATATTTGATATTTGAACTATGGTTTTATAACCAAAACTGCTCTTACAAAAGCAAAACACCTGATCTCTAAGAAACTTATTTGCTGAAGGGAAAGTTAACAGCGTAAGGGGCAAAGCCTCTCAAGTCCTATGTGTCAACCAGAGCCTTTAGCAAGAACAGTTTCCTCCTGGGGTCATGGGCACTGTCCTGCATACTACTACACAACTGAAAGATTTCTTCTGGTTGTATGTGGGGGGGTGGGGGGAGGGGCGGGTTGCTACTTCTGTTTTAAGTTATTAAAAAAAAAGGAAGCATCTCTCTCCTCTTCAGAAAAGACAATTTTTTTTCCAGTATTTGCCACAATTTTAAGCAGTATTTGTCACAAGAGCCTCTTCTATGAAGGAAACCGATCATTGTAACTGTCTTTCATCAATAATAGTCTAACAATGGATCTAGAGATGCTCTACACATGGCTAGTCCCTCTATCAACTCTCAATACATGACAAAAGTACAACAGTAAAGAAGTCTTCTGTTATGGCACAACTTGGAGCCAGAGGAGAGAAACATAGCAACACAGTTCAGATATGGAGTTTATTACCTGATGGTGCAGAGGTGACTTACACATCCTGCAATGTGTTCATGTAAACTGATGCCTAAGGACCTCCAGAGGTTTAAATACATCACCTGCATCCCCTCAAAGCTCCTTTTTGTCTCTCTCCAGTGATTTTTTTTTTTTTTTTTTTCCTTTCTTTCCTCTCTCTTTTTGGTCCTGCCTTTAGTTTTTAGAGAACCAACTTTGAATGGCTTACTCTAAAGCTCCTCAGAGCTGACTGCGGCCAAACTGGGTCCTGGGGTTTAATTTTCCTAAAAACCTTAGATATATTTACCACTGTTTCAGCAGACATGCAGAGCTAATTTTATATGGGTTGCATACTTGTCTGTAAGCACAGTGCTGGACAAGAAATCTCAAGACTGACTGAAATAACATAGCCAGACACTCGGTAGAATTCTCAGAAGAGAGACAAGACAGACAGCAAGAAACTGGTGATTAGGCAGCTCTGAATTAAGTGCCATGAAATGTTAAATAATAAAAAATGGGACTGAGGTTCTTCATTCCAGTTTTGCCCAGCCAAACTTCCACCCTTTCAATAGTCTTCTATCTTGATATCTGCTATATAGTGCTGGTGTATATGATTTGGGTCATTTCACAGGGAGTCCAAGAATAAGAATAGAAAAACATTAAGAAGAGTTACTTTATGTTATTATAAATTATTAATTGACAGGCTGCTTTCTTAAAAGCAGTATTAGCGCTGTTCATAATTTGCATATTACTAAAAAAAAACAAAACAAAAAACCAGCAATGCTTTCTCTTTACTCTACTTACCTACCCGGCCCCCACCTGTGGAAAACCTTAGAACATTAGTTCGAACTTCTAAAGTTTAAACCATACCACATTCTTCCAGATGATTCATTTTTCTATTTAAGCCCCTACTATGAGCCAGTCACTGTCCCAGGAATCAGTGATGTAACAGCAAACAAAATGGTAAAAGACCCTGTGCTCATAGAGCTTACATCATCACCAACATCACCATCACGTTGTACGTGGGCACCAAGAAAACAATGGATCAATCTAGTTAAAGGTTTCTAAGACATGCCCAATGATGCAAATTTCTGAAAGCCTCATTTTTACATATCTAATAACTGCCTTACCTACTTCATAAGGTTGATAGAGGATATGTGAAAGTGTCTAAGAAATCATGAGAAGCATACCAAATTACTGCTAATCCTACAACTACTACTATGGATTATGTAGGATAAATGTCTACCACAACACAAGTACTGAGCGCTGCTACAAGAGTTAAAGGTCAGATAACATGGCCATGGGATGATCTAGGAATACTTCTTGTAGTAGATTAAAATTTAATTGGATTTTGAAAGATAGAAGGGTATAATTAAGAGGAGCTGGGAGACTGAGAAAGAGACCAAGTAGGGAGGGTATTCAGCAGAGTAAAATATGAATTAAGGCCAAAGGCAAGAATGGAAGAGTAAGGAGCACAGCAACTTGGCTGAAATACACTTATGGAGGACAGTAGTTCTTCACAGAGAGCAACTACAGAGAAGCTAGAGGGTCAAAGGCCAAATAGAGTGGACTCCAAGATTTGTGCGCCTGCATCTCTTCTAAAGGGGAACCACCCATGCCCCTCCAAGTGGTCCTGTTGATCATAGTGTGTTGGTTTCCTGACCAAATGAGTACACTGTGACTCAAGCAGGCCCAAAATCCCTTTTATAGACATTCTGTATCTTGAACCATAAGGATATAACTGAGGGTGCCAGTGGCCATCTTTCCCAACTTGAAAGAGTCGGCTTGAGAATGAAGCCCGTGTCTGGGGGAGGAGGGAGCGGTGGATGTAAAAGTAGAAAAGGAAGAGTAGGAGAGAGGGAGAAAAGCTGACAGAGAAAGAAGCAAAGAGAAAAAAGGGAGAGAAAAGGGGGAGGAGAGAGAATAGAGAGACTTATGTGCCTGGCATTATTCTAAAAGCCTTACATGTTGAAAGAAATCTAGCTGTAGGCAAT